TACTCTCTTCTCTCTCTCTCTCCTCTCTCTCTCTCTCTCTCTTTTTTTCTTTGCTTTTCCTTTCTTCTTTTCAGACCATACGGAGCCTAACGGAGGAATGATTCTTTTCGAGAATGCTTCTTGAACGGGCAGTAAACGTCGGAGTTTACGCTTCGTCCGATAGTCCCTGCGATCATCGCGGAAGCAGATTTATGATAATCAAGCGGCATCGGTCGTCTCTCTTGTTCGCTCGCAGAGCGTCCCGTCGGCCGACAGCTTTCTTAAAACGAATTTCGATTTCCCAATAAGAGGCCGAGATTTACGGCCTCCCGTTTTGCCTGGGCGCCTTTTTTGCGCCTTGTCACGTATCCCCTCTCGTCGCGCGCCCGGCTCCTTTTTTTCAGGCCCCGCGAAGGAGGTGCACGCTTTTTTACTGCCTCTTCGTACCGTCCCACGAACGGGAGGATGGCCTGACAGCGTCCCTCTCCTGCGCAAAATGGATTCTCGCACGTACCCGAGAGCTCGCTCACTCCCTGACTCACGCACTCGCTCGCTCGCGGGCCCTCGTAGCCTCGTAACCGGCTCGTAATGCACGCGCGAACGTCAAAGTCAGATAGACGTTCCCGGAGCCTCGTAAGCGGAGAATAGAACGTCCGGATTTTGCTGCGCCATCGACACCCGACCTCGACAGGATGGAACGGGAACACTTCTGTTTTCTTTAACGTTGAAATCGAAAAGCATGCAGTCAAAATAAAAATTATCCCGTTTAAACTAAGGCAAGTGGTAAACATAATCATCGATGTGGTGGTTTCGCAAGGCGAGTTAGTAGTCGAGACAAAACATGCAAATGAATGCGTTCAACGATTAAAAAGTCCATATGCGATTAAAAGTTTTAAATTAAATAAAATTTTTAATTTTTGACGTTATATATGAGGAAAATAAAAAATTTGTAAATGAAATTCAACGTTACAGACAGCGGTTGGGACGATCGAACATCCATCGACGTGGTTAATCGCGATCGTTAATCGAAACGAGCCCCAAGTCGGGAAGCAAATCGAACAGCTTCTTTTCGCGCCGTAAAAATGGAGACGTTGCCCTCGTTAAGCGAGGTCGGCTCGTTGCGAGATGCGAAATGCGAAGTAGCACGAGCGAACGGAGCCGGCAGGACATACATCTCTCGTCGTCGGGGAGAGGAAGGGAGAGGAGGGGAGAGGAGGGGCAAAAAGCTTCTCGCGAATTACGCAGGCCGCTTCACACCAGGCGAAAGAAATCGTCGGGGGTAACGAGGTACCCACGTATAAGGAACGTGTTTCCTTGTACAGCGAAAAGAGGAAAGAAAAAAAAAGGAAGAAACGTTATGAGACTGCGGCGATTAACCTTACCGCGTAGTTATGCAAGCAGGCGCGCAGGGGTCCAGCTACGAAGTCGGTCACAATGTTGCATGTGCACGCGCGTACGCGGTATACGGACAGGTTACATACACGTAAGCGAATGCATTTGCGATTCGTTGCACCTTTGCACGCCGCCACTCTCGGTTAGACGTAGTCGTGTTCGGCTGTTCTTATCGATCAATTATCGCTAAAGAGGCTGCGCGCCATGAGAGATGTGTCGCATTAGAGAAGGCATTAGCGATACGGCACGTCGCTTGAGCCGAGCGATATCTTTTAAGGAATCCGGGATTAAGCGAGATTTGCTAATGTCGACCAGTAAAATTCTTAACGTTTCGGGAATTCTCGGCAGCTGCGACGTTGCTGCACGCGCAAGAGAAAGAAAAAAAGAAAGAGAGAAAGAAAGAGAGAAGGGAGAGAGAGAGAGAGAGAGAGAGAGAGAGAGAGAGAGAGAAGAGAGAG